ATTGTTAACTTCAAGTTATAAATGGACAATAATTATGCTCGATTATTTCAGTCAATTTTACATATTTGAACAATATTAAGCTTTATTTACCCCTTACTTCTTACTATCTTACTTAAATAATAAATGCAATAGTTTACATGGATGGATGTTTTTTGAAGGTCTGAACTGAACACGATAAAATTTGGCACACACATAGAACATGATCTGGAAGGACACAGTTCGACACCTAAGTAGTTCTGTTTTATAGATATATGTTTTTTTTTAATATAGTTAATATCCACCACCGCAAACGGCACTGTTGATGTGACTAATTTTAAAACAGCGATGGACGTTAAAATGCATGCAGCCTGTGGTTTCTTTTTGTGACTATTAAGTTATTATCCACAATTAATTATTGACTTTTAATTATGCTTTTTAGCATTTGTTTTGTTAAATATTATGTAAACATTAAATTTATCATTCGGCAATCGTATTATAAAATATTACAATTGAGAATTGCTGATTATATTTTATTATTATATTAAACAAAATAAACGGCGCATATCTGACAGGTATTAATGGTACTTAACATGTTGACCTTGCTCGCGAATTCATGTTTTTTTTTTTTTATAAAAAAACAAAACAGTAAGACACTTTGTTACCTTATACAGTTGGAGGCAGATAAGAATCTTTTGCATTCGACATTTAATACATTTTTGTGCAAGATCTTTTATTTTGTTTGTTGGTTAGATATTTATTGTAAAGTAAAAAACAAATTAAAATGCATATGGCTGTTTATTTTACCTATATTTGGTTTATTCCTTATCCAAAACTAGTTTTTAAATTCCATTTGCGTTTTGTTGGCTAATTCAAGCGATGTATTGACATGGCGTCAACATCAGCATATACCTGACGATTGTGTAGGCGTATCATAGGAAATTTCGAAGCACGTTCTTTCTGTATTCAAATGGCGCCACAAAGGCACCTTGACGGTTGTTACATACATTTTGTTGTATGCACGACTTACCTCTATGTCACACATTATTCTATAAATTCGTCAACTATTGCAAAATCATAATCTTAGAAAAAACATTAAAAAAAATTATTAAATTTTTACCCAAATCTTTTTATAAAGAAGATCATTTCGGATTTATATTACTACAGTGAGGCTTAGAAAACTTTTCCAGTGACAATTCATTCCTTCAAGCCATTGGCGTTTGTTAGTGTTGACCCCCAATCACGATATTCTAGTTCTATTTGCCGGCTGCACCCTGGGCCTACGTGGGCTGAATGCTCTGAGCTCAATGAGAAAGCGCCGGACCGGTTCCCGCGCGACTCCCACCAACACAAGCTACTTTCAATCCACAATGGACGTACAGATTATCTTAACTTAACTTAAACATCGTTTGTACGCTTACTTACAATAAAACGATAGTTTAAAGACATCGTAAATCTACAAGATACAGATTTGCTGCATGCCTCGACCACTGTACCTTAGTATTTATAATTAACGATGTCTCAGCATACTATTAATGATTTGTTTTACGTTTGTAAAATATTGAATTTGTTTATTCGTGTAACTGCAATGTGACAATGTATATTTATCTACGTTTTAAAGGTTAGGCTTTAAATTTGCTTTGCTTCTGTAAATATTTTTCTTAAAACTTTGCTGCAGGGAAGGTCGCAACATGTATGAGGTTTTGTTTTTATGTTTCAGTGTCAGTTGACGTTAGAGGAATTTATATACATATATACATAAACATTGATAATTCATCAAGACCATTGCTTTTAATCGACACAGACATTAGCCAGTATGTTAGTAAGTAGAAGTAGTTCCTACCTTTCTATGTTGCTTATCTTCAAGTTCTAGGGAAGGTTTTACGATTGCTACACTCTCCCTTCCAAATTTAATGTGTCAATCTTTTGTTTATATTTAAAATATTCGCGTAATTTTTAAATTGGTATCTAAAATATGACATTATTTTACGTCAGTTTACAAGAATGTAGAAACTGCATGCTTCATAATATCCTACGACTAATTTGTTTTAAGCAAATGTTTATGTAAGACATCTTAAATCCGTCAAATTACAATTCGTAATAGCTTTTAACTCTTAAGTAACAACCGATGTTTACCATAGTTTACTACTATGACACTATTCGTCTAATTACCTGGTACACTATTGAAATTTACTTATTTCGAAGTCGTAATACTACACTGACAATTATCCAACTAGAATAAAAGTAAATATGGCATAGGCATAGAGAAACAAATGATTATTTCTGTAGTAAAACTCATCTAGTATCAAGAATGTTCCATGCTAAATATTGTGTAGTAAACAAAACTGCGTGGGCGCAGAATAAAATAAAATCATTCGTTTACAGAGGCGCGCGGTCCGCCCGCAATTTTGATATAAAGTCAAGTCGAAACAACATCGCTATTTTTATTCCGCGTTCAAGGCCAAGTTCGCCATATTGCATTCGCTACACTATCGATTCGAAGAAAAAAAAAACGTTTGTCTCGCAAGCAAGCACTTTTATTACATTGTATTTAAAAAACAAATGCGCAGTGGCACGGAATATTTTAATTTTTCGTATGTTAATTTAAATTCAATCGTTTAATTTTAAATGACTGGCCGGTTGTTAATTTCTTTCTTTTACGTTCTATTTAACAGTATATCATTAAATATCTATAAATTATTTTTTGTTGTAAAAATGTTGTTTATAATAATTTTGTTATGAGTAATCCAAGTTTGTTGTTCAACAGTTAGAAAGTTACACTGAATTGTTCGAGATATCAAATATCAAGACCACAGGAAGTTTAACTTGATATCTTATTACGTGCTTATGTAACGGGCGCGCGGTCTGTTGTGCCTTTTTTTGTTGATTACATTAAAATAACTAAGGCATTGTAAGCCCTCAAGGTTACCTACATTAAACCGAGCGAACTTCCGTTGCCTTGTTCTCATGACTAACCCTTACACGTTCACTCGACCAAATATTTTTTTTCTCTCAACGGTTAATAGTACTTAGTTATAGGTTGCAGGTTCTGAAGCAATGTTAAAATTATTATAAAAAATATTTCTATTTCTAAAAAATACAGTTTTACAAAAACATAAATATTCGATATTATATTCTCAGACACTAAGCTAAGAAAAACACGTACAGGAAAATTCCTAAAATTCAACGATTCACACTTAAAAAACAGATTGCGAGATTTGCATCACAAGTAGACAAAATCGTTTGAAAAACAAACAGTTGACGTTATATAATTAAGTCGAATCTGTTCGAAAACAAGTTAAATGATTACATGCTAAATAATAAAGAGTTCGAGAACTATAAAATATTCGCATCAAAGTTGTTATCGCGCTATATTTTTTTTTTGTTATCGGCTCGAGAATGTAAACAGAACGCCGCGTTGACACGCCCCGGTGAGATACGAGACTCGGTATCTAATTCGGTTGGCCTTGACAATGAAAAAAAACAAGTTTTTTCGCGCAACCTTGACGTCTTGCGTTTCGTTTTTGCTAAACCGCTAGTACATTTGCAGCGTTGAATAATAAAATTATGTATATTAAATGGTTACTTTGTTGTCTTTACATATGGTTTATGTTATGACAGTACAGTAGGACTGTAGCACTGGACTGGCATGGACTGTATGGGCTCACTGGCTTAATTTTAACTAGACAAAACTAAGTAAATATTTTAGGCCAGTATGCTGTCAATAAAATAGAAAGAAATCTTTATACATAGATCTTCTTATTTATTTAAACATTTTGTTACATCGTTTGTTTAAACAAATACACGTTTGTAACTTATAGGGACAGGTGGAGATTACGGAATTTTAGAGTTCTTATATACATATTTGCGCATACATATGTGCATATATGTATATATATATGTTAGTTACGATGTTTATGTATTACTTACGACAAGGGTCTTTAGGCGTGCGTCGACTTAAAATTTCAGACGTACCAAACTGTTGGTTTAAAATAAAATAAGTGCATTACATAGATAGACAAAGGATATATGAATGCTAAATAAAAATTACCTTTTATATTGAAGCAATTGATATAATTGTCTTTGCCCCGAAATCCCCGGTGCGACTTGAAACATTAAAGCTGCCATTTTGTCGTGTTTTAGTATTTTATTAAATGTTTCGAATCCGCCGTCACGAAATGTCGCTCGAGCGGTTCGCAAATTGAACTATAGCAAATTGGATTTTGATTCGTGTAATGAGATGAGTTTATAACACGCTTTATTTCTCGATCAACACGATTTGAATGCAGCGCGTGTTTTTCTTGAATGTAACAATATTTTAGTATATCTACAACCGGTTTTTGCTTAATATATTTTCTAATAGCTTCAACAAAATGTCTTGATATCATTCTTTTCATTTGTCATGGGTTATTTTCGAGATTTCTTTTTTGACATTTTTTGCATTTTGAAATGGAATTAAAACTGACTGAATTATTTAATATGATATTGAAATGTTACTCATCAGTTTCAATGTTACAATAAATATATTTTGGGTTGATTTTGAATTAAAAATACAAAATAGATTTATCTATTGATTAATAATAATTGCATTTATTTGATATATTGCACTTTTAAATTGTATAAACGTGTATTTGGAAAGTTTTATTTGGATATTAATCAAGCGAGCTTTTATCTTTTTAACGTTCCTATCTTATTACTTTATTGCACCGACTTACCTTGAGGTAATCAGATAAAATATCAATGAGATAATGAAATATCTATCAAGTTTGACAAGTAAGACTTTATTTAATATAGATAGTAATTAACGGAAATAAAAACAATGTTACATTGGTAAACGAATGTTTGTTTGAAGGTATCTCGAGAACGGCTGAACGAATACCGCTGAAATTTGGCATTGATGTAAAACATAGTCTGGATGAACACAGGCTACTAAGTTTTTTTTTAATTGACTTGTTTTTTTTTAGTTGACAGCTAGTGTTTTTTAAATGGCAACTTGTTTTCAACGGTTTTTTTTTTGTTTACAGAGCCGGCGCTGGCGCAAACGGCATATTCTCCAGGCGACTCGATTTCTCAACCTTCAATCTTTTGCCGAAGCATAAAGTCAACTCTTATCAAATTAAGGTAAGCGCTTATTATTATAGTTTAAGTAACATACTTAACTTTCTTTGTATTAGACTATTGCTAATGTAATTGTTTGGATGGATGTATGGTTGTTATCATGTAACTACTCCTGTATGGATGTGAATGAATAGAATCAGATTTGAATAATGCATCGGATGCTAACTCCGTTTTTTGTTTTTAATTCCACGCCCATAAGTTATGTTTTGAATGTTTGATAATCTGTGTTGTTTTATAAGATGTAATTTTAAAGTTACATAACAGGTTTTAATAGCGGCAGACTTACAACAGACGTTCACAATTTAACTGCATTTACGTCTCACGGTTTTTAGCGAAGTTAACTTTGTTTTATTTTTATGTTTTTTATTGTTTTATTTTTGGTGGTGCAAATAGATTCTCTGCTTGATGGATATTTGTTTATTATTTGCTGTATTCTAATTGATTACTTTTTCTGTTTTGTATTTGTGTTATGATTTTCAGATACTTTCATCGTCTGCTTGATATAATTTTTACATTTCTCATTTCAATTTTTGTGCTTGACTTTTAAAAATAACTTACTCTTTTTTTATAAAAAAATATTGTGGACCATTCGGCCAGTCTTTTTTGTCTCATGTTGCATGAAAAGCATTTAAAAAGTTAAAGGCATTTCTCGTTTGAAGCATATATTAGTAAGTCCTCTGAGAGTTTACGATTTGAACACAGGACTTTATCGGTCGCTTTCCTGTTCAACCCACGGCCGCATTGTCCGTCGTACTTTAGCCTGCGATTTAAGTCCCAGAGCTCACATAAAACTATTGTAATGCTAACATCGATCATAATTTCAAACTCCAAGTAAAATACAATGACTTGAAATGAAGTTCAAAGCTTTTCTGATCAAATGACAGACTGCCTCTAATATTTACATAAAGATTAGCATTTAGATGCATAAAATAAGAATTATTACAGCTTTTGCGTTTTTTAAATTTAACTGAAGTAGGACATCTTTAAGTATTATGATTTCTTAGCTTTGCGCCTTTGCAAGATTTTTTTATTTTTGTCTCCTAGTTAGTAGATACATTTTTTGGTATTTTTGAGTTGTAACATTTCGATATATCTTATCTTCTAGCAGTTAAGGTTACTCTAAACAGACATACAGCAATTCATTATGACTATATTCAAAAATTATATTACATTTTATAAACGATAGTCACAAAGTTTTATCTTAACAAGATAAATTTGGTTTAGAATAACGATAAAACACTTTTATAGTCCGGGCCCGTGTTGAAAGTTTACCTTCGCTGGTGTCGCCATAAAGACCCAGGATGACGCCCCGCGCGATAAAGAGCTGTCAGTGGAGGCGCCCGTATGGCTGCGACGATTACTAGGGTGACAAAGCAATGCTAATTTAAACATTTTTTTTGAAAATTTTCGTGTAATTCATATATATCAATTTCTCTGCATAAGGACTTCGCTTTGTATTACTGACTTTTGTCTAATGTTTGATCGACGCTGTAGATTTTTTTAACTTTTCTAATCTTCGCATCTGTCTTATTAAAGAATTTACGAAACACGTATTTACGATACCTAATAACCTAAGAAGTTGTCAAATCTTGAGGATTATCCTTTATTTAAATAAACAATGGTCACCGTGAAACATATAAGTTTCGTAAACGAATAAACGTAAATTCGTTGTAATTTAATAGTATGCCGGTAGTAGGCGCTTTATAGGAATGAAACCCGCGGCGCCGCGCCCAGTCCGCTTTCGGCTAGATTTATACAAATAAAACACGCACCCGTTTACATGTGTTATAATTTTTTTATATGCAAAGAATATGGCATTTGATATGATACTATTAAATATATAATTAAAAATTATGACTAAAAGTTTTTTGCAAATGGGTAAAGATTTATTTTTGGTAAATTTCTTAAAACTATGATTGGCCCTAAATGGGTTCAATTTATTATTTACAAAAATTTTGTAACGCAAGACAAACGCGGTTCAGCCGAGCCGTGTCGGTCGTAGCGTTTTTCCTTGCCAAAGGCAGACCATAATCGAACAAAGCCCAGCATTTGATGGCACGCCACCGCGCTGCGCTCACGTCGAATTATTTTGCAATTGTCGCTCGTTATATGTTTGTTATGCAGCGCCGGTATCTAATCTCTGTGGGCCTTGAGCCCGTTGTATGTCAACCTACGGTCAATGCACCGCCAGCCGACCGCCGGCCGCCGCGCCCGTCTATTTTTAACCCGCGATTGTTTCATATTTATTGCTGCCCAACGCTTGTTGCAGTAAGCGCAGTAAGTGCATATTTTTACTGTCGCGCCGATTGAGTAATTGTTTCGTATGTGCACGCTTTGTGCCGTTTCGTTTGTCCGCCATTTTGGAATTTGGCGCGCGAAAAATTGCACCCGAATGCAATGTGTCGCTCGAACGGAGAGGTTGTTTCTCCATGCCAGGACCAATTTACGATTTGCTCCAGGTTGAATTGATGGACAATGATCGGATTTGCGTTGTTTAACATGGCACGTATTGCAAAGTGCATAGTTTTTAAGCTATACAGATTGTGTTGAACGAAATTAACTCAAACAACTTTTTATTTTTCCTTTTTTGAAGAAACCACACGAACACGAAGACTTGCTTGGTTTGAAGAATGTCTCTCCGTATTAAAAAGTTCGTTCACAATCAAAACCCTCGGGAATTAAAACGTTTGGTTTTAAAAAAGATATTCAGGCTTACAACTTAATCGTCGGTCGTCGTAAAACCGTATATTGTGTTCGGATATTCAAACAATTCATTTTGCTTTACAACTTTAATTAATTCCCCACAACAATTTACGCTGTCCGACGATGTTTTTTTTTCTGTAACAAGCAAATCTGCAATGTGAATCATAGATTGAGCTATTGTTTTCCAACGCCACAACCACGAAGAAGGTTAATAAAATCATAAATTTTATTTGTGTGCTTTAATTCAATGAAAATTGCTTCGTACAGAATGATTTATGTTAAAGGCCAACCTTTGTTGCTTGCTTGCGTTACCTATTCATTTATCTGTAATAAAATAATGTAAGGGTCAATCTAAACTTATTTCTAGTCATTACACGATGTAGAATAAAAATAAAATTAGGACGATAACCACATTTTGTATGAAATAAGCAATGCAATTTTATTTTATGATATTTGTTTATTTGTACTATGTATGCTTAGGAACACGCATATATTTACTGTTGTTGACAATTTTATTGGTGAAAATAATTGAACAAAAAAAAAAATTGCCTTTTTTGCAATACAACGAACAATTCTGATAGTATTAAGAACTTATTTGAATAATAAATTATGTTCCTTCAAAACACAAGTATTTAAAAAAAAAACGTGTTATTTTAACATACTATTTTATATTATAAATTGGTGTATTACTAATCAGAAATCGTATAGCTCATAGGAAATAGTATATTTTGTTTTGTATTTACGAGGAAAAGATAGACTAATAGTGTGTTAAATAGTCAGAACATTTAAAATCGATTATTTTAATTTAATATTTGTTTTGCATGATAAATTAATTAATAAAATTCAATCTAATTTTATCCTTACGCTCTTAATAAATTTGATAAAATCTAAATAAAACGATAAAACGCTAAGAAAAATTTAGTATTCATGCTTTTTATTGATGCCATCTTACTAATATTACAAATGCGAATATAGGGATGGATGAATGGATGTTTGTTTGGAGTTATCTCCGGAACGGCTCAACGGATCTTTATGAAATTTGGTATTATACAAATGTAGAACATAGTCTAAAAGAACACATAGGCTACTTATTAAGTTTTTTTTAACTCCGCGCGGACAATTTCGCTAGCGACAACTGGTATTTTAATAGTTTTTGTATAAAGTTATCCCAAACAATCTGTCGAATTATTATTCTTTAAAATAATATCAGATAATAATCGAATTCTTGCCATCTTGGCATCTTGAAAGTCTTGGAAAGTCAAGAAAAATATAAGCATATCAGTGAATGCCTGGATTAAACTGGTATGAAACTAAGCTTGATTGATAACGACGTTGGGGCACGTTTTCGCGAGACATCGAGTCATTACAGCTACCATGCTGCTATTTATGGTACCTTGTCTACCGGCATATTGATCGCAAAGACCGGTCTCCGCCATGGGACGTGGTCATTCAATCACAATTTCACATACACGACAGATAAAATTCTATCACATATATAAATGGGCATTTATATTATAGATAGTCAAAAAGCAAAATCTGACACTTATATGAAAATCTGTAAAATATTAGCGTTGTTATTTTCTATTTTGAGGTAATTTTAATATATATATAAATGGTTGGTGGTAGGGTCGATGTTTGTTAGGTCTCCAAAAGATCACCAAAATGACCTCAACGATCTCGCTGAAATTCGGCATAGATGTAGAAAAAAAATCAGGTAAAATATAGATTCTATAATTAAGTTTTTTTTTAATTCTGCGTAGACGGAGTCGCGGGTAGAAGCTAGTTAGAAAGTGTTTATTCAATAGTTATTTAAATAAGTTTTTAGATAGGTTCTAATAGATATTGATAACTGTTATACTTTACTTTTTATTAATTTTAAAGGCGTTAGTTTTTTCACCCATAATTCGATACAATTATGCAAAATCTACTTCTTATTTTGCATAAAATTTTAAATATCGCATTGATAAAGTCAAAGGCGGAGGTAGACATAAATTTGTAATATCTAAGACTCACTAAGGAAGGAGACGTATCAAAAGATAAAAGTATATTTTTATTATATTTTAAACGACTTTTATGTCTTCCCACTGCACGGTGCTTGCAAGGAACGTATTCATTTTATTTGAATATGACTATACATTAACTTGTATTGGAGATTTTAAAACATATACAATAAGAATTTATTTTTGTTCTCTATGTGAATGTTAATTTATTTTTTATATTTACGTTGTGAATATGTATATTTTTTATGCAATGGGTCGACGATGTGAAGAGTTCTCAGTCATTCGCGTAACAGAATCCGC